CGGGGGGACCTAATAGATGCCTTCCAGTACCTGAAGGGAACCTACAGGAAGGCTGGGGAGGGACTTTTTACAAGAGTGTCCAGCGACAGGACAAGGGGAAATGGGTTTAAGTTGAAGGATTTAGGTTGGACCTTGGGAAGAAATTCTTCAGTCCGAGGGTGGCAAGACTTTGGAATAAATTGCCCAGAGATGTTGTGGCTGCCCCCTCCCTGGAGGTGTTCAAGGCCGGGTTGGACGGAGCCTTGGGGAGCCTGATCTAGTCGAGAGGCGTCCCTGCCCGTGACAGGGAGGTTGGACTGGATGATCTCTGAGGTCCCTTCCAGCCTAGGCCAGTCTGGGATTCTATGATTTGTCTGACTCTTCCAGGGTGGTCGTAGGATATTGCTGGCAGTCTCAGCGGTATCGAGTTCATTTATTTTTGACACTAGGCTACTTACCATGAGAAATTAGAAACTGTACAGAAAAGTCAGGGTTAGGTAACTGTTTTCAGATTGGTCTGAATCTTTAGTTTGTCAGTGGCCCAGTCTATTAATAAAGGTAATAAAGCTTTAGCATCCCTTCTAATACCTTCCCAGACTTGTTGCAGTTCCCTAAATGCTACCTTTGGGCATCATGGGATATATATTTGTGCTCTAGTTAGCTTGTCAGTTCAAGCTTGCCAGACTCTTCCAAGTATGTTCATCGTTACTTTTTTTTTCCTTGTATCTGTGCTAAATGTCCTTTGCTGCCAGGAGCAGATGGGTGAGTAATGAGACTCCTGCTCTCATTTGAGCAGCACAAGAAGTATCTGTTGAGGTTGTTACCTTAAAGGATGCAAATGTGTATCTGGTTTTCTCTTTTCCTGCATCAAACTCAGTCTTCTATGTTTAAGCGTGTTTTGTTCCTTAATAATCATGTGGTAAACTGTATTTCAGCCTTTACGAGTATAAAAGTTTGCTGTTCCTGCCTCCAACTCTTTGCAGTCTTTTCCTATCTCTGGACAGAACCTTCTCAGTCTCCAGTTCTCTGTAGCCTTCGCAATCCCTCCTAAGGCAAATAATTACGTATCTGATTTTGTTCCAATTAACTGCTAAGCAGCATGTTTACTACAGCATTTTTCCAGTAAAAGCAAATTTAATAGACAAGCACAGTTGTCCTAATGATGTGAGATTATTGTGTGGACTGGATTTATATTTACATTTCACTGATACTCCTCTATCAGCCTTCTCTCATGTTTCAACAGTTGTTTGCTACTCCGGTAACACTCCCGGGCTTAGTGCTGCCTCAGCTGTAAATTGAAAGGAAAAGACATACTTCACTGAAAAATAATGTAATAAATACATATACTAAGAAAAGTTACAACTGAAACAAGAAATAATTTTCTTGACGAATATGTTTGATGCTTAGTAATTGATGAAATTCAAATCAATGTGAGCAGGAACCAGAAATGAGTATGTTGGCTAGTGTTAGGCAAGGCAGGTATCTGATATTTTTGCACTGGTGGGAAGTTTCAAGGACATGGATTTCAAATCTGGATTCACAGAATGAATCACAGACTGGCCTAGGCTGGAAGGGACCTCAGAGATCATCCAGTCCAACCTCCCTGTCACGGGCAGGGACGCCTCTCAGCTAGATCAGGCTACTCAAGGCTCCGTCCAACCTGGCCTTGAACACCTCCAGGGAGGGGGCAGCCACAACATCTCTGGGCAATTTATTCCAAAGTCTTGCCGCCCTCGGACTGAAGAATTTCTTCCTAAGGTCCAATCTAAATGTTCTTCCTACAGGCTATGGAGTTTATCTGGGTACACAAAATGTACTTGAACCTTTGTGATCAGAGTGGTTCTTTGCTCTTGTGGTCTGTTCTTGAGAGGCGAAGGGGAATCTGCCCATACCCAACAGCAGCATTTGCCAGCCTTGTTCCTTGCGCGGTGATGTTACGGCGCAGAAGCTCCAGGTAGTGCCGCTTTAGGGTTTGTTCATTTGGTCAATATGCTGTTGGAAACTTCAGAAATTAGTGTTGCTTTTGTGTCTGTGAAGAAACAACATGCCTAAGGTTGACTGATGGTTTCTAAAGCCTCCAAAGTGAACCTCCCACAAGTCTAGTGTACAACATTATCCTGCTTTTTTCTGTATTTTGTTTGGGAATACTCTGTATTACTACTGTGCCTACTCTTTGTGCCTAGCTTATCTCTAGTTTCCCCTTTTTTTCGGGAGGGGAAGATGTTTGATTCTAAACTATCCTTTTTTCATAAACTTCCCATTCAGCATGAGGTATTTACCCTGTTAACTCTGTCATCTCTTTAGAAAACAGCTCTTCGGGCATACTGAGGTGTAAATAATTCTTGGGAATAAATTTTTTGATGTCTAGAATTGCTCCGGTGATTCCTCAGAGAGTATCTGCCCGTGGAATGAAGACTCCTGCACGCTTACTGCAGAGGAGCTGCTTGCCTGTGCTGCTGGAGGAATTATTTTCCTGCAAACCTCATAGCTGTCGACACAAGCTTGGCAGCACACATTCTTCTGGGCTGTAACCATCCCCATCCTCTGGGATGGTGTTTGTCCAGGCCCCACATCTGCTCCTTCTGTGGCGGCTGTTTTCACTGGAGAGTGGAGCAAAGAGAAGCGAAGAGGATCTGCTGCCAATATTCTTCTTGCTTTTTATTGCTTTACTCTCCATAACTTCCTCCCGACTTGCTGGTTTTTGTGCGTGTGAATCTCGGCCAGTCCCTCTGTGTTCCTGTGATCAGTGTGCTTTGTGGTCTTGGAAGATCTGTCAAACTTATACGCAAAGGTGTTAACTGCACTTCTGTTATAGTGAGCTATTTTAATATTCAGCAGAAGACAAATCAATCTACAGTATCAGCATACTTGTTGCTGCCTATTTGCTTCTTCCTTGCCTGTAGTGTTATGGCTTGATTCATTTATTTGGGTTTTTTGGTCATTTTCTTCAGAGAAGTTGCAGTTGCTTTCATCTGTCCGTAGCAGAGAGAAAGTAAAATACACCTGTGTAGCTTGACCTTGAGCTGGAATGGATGTTTCTGCTTAGAAAGTAAATTAACTAAAAGAAAGTGGGGAAAAAAAAAGGAAAGAATAAACACCAACATAGATGTGGCTGTGTTTAAATATGGCTTTTGAGGAAAAGGGATTTTGTGAATTCTTTAAGGGTGCAAAACAGGATATTGTCTCAAGTAAGCTGTTTGCTTAGTCAGGGCTTTAAGTGTTATCAGAGAGATATATCTTAAGGGAGAGTGCAGACCAGGAAGAATTGATGATGAATTCCCAGAAGAGGAGTCCGATCAGGATCATTATGTACGTTTACATAGTGAGCTTGGTACCATGAGGTAGGTGAGAGTTACTCAGACTTCCTTGCTTTTAAGGATCTCAGCAGCTTAGGATGTAATATAGCAGTTAAGGGTTTGCCTTTTTGTACTCTGAAAGTTCCTGGGAGGGGGGAAAGAAGGGGATGGGGAAGTAGGAGCACAGTAAAAGGGTTTTAACTTTTTAATAAGATTGTACTGAGAGACGTGAACTTTTCCTTCGCTGTAATTTAAAGGTTCATCTTTGTTAAGAAAACAGCTTTGCTTAAAGATAAATTTACTTTATAAATTAATCATTATGGCTTAGTAGGTAGTAAGTCACAGATATCTCTGTACCTTGCTTTTCATGTCTTGTTAAAAGAGCCTGCACCCTCCAAGGAAGTGGAAAATAGTTCACTGACAGTCTGCCATTGCAGTCAGAAGCAAAAGGACACCCAAGCCCTGTTCCCTGAATCAGTTTTTACTCATGACTGCAAATTCTTTACTGATATTTTTGCTCCTATAGGTCCTATTTTCTTCTAGTTTGCTCAGAATTTATTACCTGGGTTCCTCTGAATTTCTTTCAGTTCACCTGTCTCTATTATAAGACATTTCCAAGATGATCATATAGAGTAATGAAGGAAATGCGAAGCAAAAAGGAAGTAGACCCTCCCAGCTAGAGTTAATGACAGAGCTATTCGTGGGCCCGCTGTGTAAATACGTATTATGCCAATT